AAACGTAAGCACTCTCATTTCTTTCCCAAGTGCCGTTACGTTTTCATCTTGGCTCTGAGATTAATACCACCAGTGCCTTCTGGCTTAGTGCTCTCTGCCTTGTGGTCTGATTCCGTATGGCATCTGTCCTGGAGGAGCCTTACAGTGGGCTCTTTGCCAAGGGAAAAGCAGAATTGGCACTCAGGATCTCATTCCAGTTGGCAGGCGAGGTGCCAGTGTAGATGTATGTGCCCGAGTTCAGGGCCTGTGAGTGATCACTGTGTTCACAGGAAACATCACCTAGAGAAACCCCGTCCATGGAATGGTGAGCTGTCCCTTGGCACTTAAGTCTTATTGTATCCACATTTGATAGGCACCTTTCCTTAGGGGTGTGACATTGGAAAAGTCACTTTTCCTCTCTGACTCTCAATTATTTCATCTCCAAAATGAAGATAGTGATTTCAACTGGAACTGTTGTGATACTGTATGTCAAGTACTTGGCAAAGGGTTCTGGCAAAGAGCAGTGTCTCAATCAATTATTATTTCTGTTTGAATCTAAATTCCTGCACTGTGAAAGGCTTTGTGTCAGGTACTGAGGACAGTTGGGGGATGAAGAAAAGCAAGCTACTTTAATTTTCTAAGGCCAAGATTAGTTCTCATAAATACAAGTCTCACTAAGAGTCTTGTTGGGATTTGGGGTATCTGTTCTCCTAATTCCTTCTCTAGGGAGAGCATGCTGGCTCTCCTTGGCCTCTGGCAAATACCCCCAAAGGTTTAACCATCAGGCACATAATTTCCGCTTGCTTACAGGTGTCAGCCCTTGCAGCCCCACGAGGAAAAAACAAGTCAGGGAGTCTCCACAGAAAGGAGCATTGGCCAGGGAAAATGTTGAGGGTCCAAAGAAAGAGAGCTTGGGTAGATTAGAATGAAGTTGATCAAGCTGTTGCAGTACCAGCAAGATTGAGGATGTGGGATTCCACAACAGTAGGGGGATAGGGTCACCTGTTCCCTGCATGAGCTTTTGATCAGAAGGGTGTGGTTGTTATGATTTAGATGACAACAAGACATTGATGGATTTACTTAAGGGACTGTCACGCCCTTAGCATGTGGTGCTAGTTTTTGGAAGTTATTTGCAAAATTACCCCAATTGTTAGGAAAGGATGAAGGTATGGATGAGATGCTCTCATCGGTGTTACTGTGTGAAGAGGAACGGAATCTATGGGGTTAGAGAAACCTTTATGTGATTATTGAGAAAATGTGGGTTTTAAATAGCCCCAAAGGACTCACGTTCAGCACTCTGCACCCTCTTTCCCACAGATAGAAAAAAACGTGTGTGTATCTTTTAGCGCTGCCTTCATTTAACCGTGCTCCCAGGAACTCAGCATCACTTGCTCTTGTCTTTGTCTTCCCACTGATTTTCCATCAGCTGTTCATTCTCAATCCAGGCCAGACCAGATAAAATACTTGATTACATAATAGATTAGAAATAGTTTGCTCTTTTGAGCCTCGTGAGTATAATTAAATTAAATAGTTGAATTCTAGCTTTACAGTTTATAAATTGGTAATCTTAGGATTTATTTCATAGGTGTTGGTGTCTGAAAAATACTACGTTCTCCTGAAACTGTTATAAGAATTTAAAAGCACAGTATTTAGTATGTAAGTATTCACTAAGATATGTATTACTTAGTATATGAAATGTGTTTGAGTCTATGCTATAAAAATTTCAGATTGAAAAGTAGTTTTATGATAGTCACTTAAAGTGTCACACACATGCTAAGAAGGGGTTGGCAGTAGAAATAACTGACACCTTGGGACCATTAGGTGGCATGGTGGTTAAGATGCTGGATATTCCCACATGGCTGACCACGGTTCAAGTCCTGGACCTGGTGGCTTGCTTTCTCACATGCTCTCTCTCGCTCATTCTCTCTCTCTCTCCCTATGCCTCTCTCTGGTCATATTAAAATAAATGAATGAGGGAACCAACAGTTAGCGTAATGGCTATGTTGCTGGACTCCCACATAGTCGACCGTGGTTCGCGTCCCAGACCCAGTGGCTTAAAACTCACACCGGGTGCATGCGTGTGTGTGCCAAGGATCCCGAGAGGAAAATGGAGGAGAAGGGATTGCGGCATGACCATCCCCCTTTGGGGGTGATTTCTCGCTTTCTGTCTCTATGTCTCTCTCTGTCTGTCTGGTGAGTGCACGCGCCCTATAGTGAAAACCTCTCCCCCCCAAAAAAAATAAATAAAATAAAATAAAAGAATGTATAAATAAAATTTTAAAAAGAGAAATAACTGACACCTGTGAGCACTTATGTGCTACATCCTATACTAAGCACATGACTCCATGGGATCGAATCTGTTGTTCCCATTTTGCAGATAAACAGTCTGAGGCCCAGAGTAGAACATTTAGGAGCTGGTGGTGTCAGAAAGCAGATCCCATGCCCTTTGCCACCCTGACTTTGGGTGCAAAACTGTCTCCAGGCATCTGTAAATGATGACTAAGACAAAGGGATTATAACTATGCACTTAACCATGATAACTAAAGATGAAAAGTGTAATTCCTCTTCTCAGCATTTCTTCCTTTATGTTTCTTAATGAGTCTGTATTTTTTAAGGAAGTATAAATGGCCTCTTGTTTGGGGAAAAAGGAGTGCTTGTTCTAGAATTTTAAGTTTAGATATTAGGGCTAGTGTACTGTCACCAACTCATTCACTGTATTAATTGTGCTCTGTACAGACAAGATGTAACAGCCCTATTTTTTTAAACTTCCGTTTTCTCTTAGCTGAGACCTGTGGCAATACCTTCCTCTTTTCATTCTAGCTGGTTGTCAACAGCAGTAACCACAAGTCTTTCCTGTCCCAGAAATAAGTTTTGCCACACGCTTAGCTCTTAACGCCCCATGAATGCTACATTCTGTACTGCATGGGGCCCCGCCACCTCCACCCTGCTATAGTCACAGCTCCAGCTCCGTGGGGTTAAAGTGTTTATTGAATTCCCAAAGAATGATTTGAAAAGAAGTATAGGTGCATAAGAACAAGATAAACGTTCTAGTTCTAATATAAACAAGCATTACATTACACCCGAACTGTTGAAAGAAGATTTTGTACTCAGTATTTTACTCAGCAGAACATTTTCTATAACAATAAGGTTGATTAGAGACAGCTTTGAAAGTGCTTCAAGTTAGTCAGATTGTTTATCTCAAGGGTAAAAAAATAATAATAATAAAGTGGTAAAATAGGAGTGTAAGAAGTAGAAATTGAAGCCAGGACCTAGTGAAGAATATTTGACATTGTTTTCCTCTTTGGATGTAATCTAATTCAGGATTTCTGCTTTCCGTAGGTCTTTGGTTTTTTAACTGGCAGGGTCTCCTTTTGTTTTTTGGGTTTTTTTTTTTTTTTTTTCGTTTTTATGCGCTCAGGACTGGCCTAGCCCCACAGCAGATTTAGGGTGCTCTGGTGTTTTCTGGATTATTTTATCCAAATAAGGAAGTCTGCATAAGATCTGAGAATACCTTCTTACTGTTACTGGAGGCTGCAGTGATAACATATTTGCCATTTAAGTTTTAGTCAATGTGTCCCTTTTTTGACTGTTCTCCTTCTTGGACCTGGGGGGCAAGCAGTGCTCATGAGCAAGGCTCTGCAGATACTGAGTCTGCCTGCTTTGTACTTGCTTCGGTGCATTGTATTTTCACAGGGTGGGAAGCTAAACCAGGAGCACAGACCTGCAAATGAGTGCTGCTCCAAGGCATTCAGGCTTGTCACTTGGCAGAGTAGCTGGGTTTAGGGTGTATTTGGAGGGTGGGGGAAGGTAAAGAGTGTCTGTGGTTTTGCTTTACTGCTTACTCCAGCTCCAGCTGAGGGGGGGTCAAGGAGATTCATATAAAAAGAAATGTCTTCATCACCATATTACGTGACAGTGACTAGAATTGCAGGCTCTAAACAAACACTCTCTTCCAAATGGGAGGGGGGGTTCTTAGATGCTTAAGATTTTGCTCTTTGTATCAGCCCCAAATATTTACTGAAGCCAAGAGAAGAAAAGGCAGATTTTCTTTTTTTCTCTCCCAAACGTGTGATTGTTTAGAACTCAAGTGCAACATCTGGAAGTCAGATATACAGAGAGCAATTTATGGAGTGTGAAAGATTTGAAATATTCAGTGTCCTTTAGTGGGAACTCAACTTTCTGGGGCTGCATTTTTTTTTCCGGCACAAAGCAGGCAATTCTGAGATCGCCTTTGCCTCTGTGAATTAAACCCTTTGTGCCTGGGTCCCATAAACAATGTGCTTTTTAAAGGGGAGCCCCCTCCCAGCTCCGGCCCTTTTTTCCAGTGTGGGCAGCCAATCAGCTGCACAGAGCTGCATAGCTGAAGCGCTTTCCATTCTGAGCAGCAACAACGTACTAATTTGATGCACACATGGATGCCTCGCGCACTCTGCAAATTCATCACCAGCATCTTGCATTAGTCATCTGACGGACTGCCAAGTGTTTCATTTTCTTTCCATGTGACTTTATTATTACCACCTCTCTCTCCTCTTCCAAAAACCTCCAAAAAAGGGCGGGGAGCTGGGGAGAGGAAGAGCAGCAGAAATCAAGCAGAAATTCAGCCCTGCCTTTCTTTCCCAGCAATAGCCAGTGTAGGGCTGATAACGCCGCCGCTGCTGCTGATGCGCCGATGGCAGCCTTGCAGAGCAAGACCTGCACTTAACTTGCAGCTCCCTCCCAAGCCCGGGTTTCAAGATGTCCACGCCCTGGGTGACAGCCGGCAGGGCGCTGCCCTGGACTCGGGCAGCGATGCTGAACAGCAGCATGCAGTGAAAGCCCCTCGCCGCTGCCGCTGAGGAGCAACCTAATGGTGCCTCTGCTTTGTTTTAGTTCATCAAATTTCTACGACTCATTAGGCACTTTCCCCGTGCTCCTCTTCCTCCTCCTTCCGCCGCCTCATCCCCACCCCCCCACACACAATTTTTTCTTCCTGTCCCTCACCGTGCAGCCCTAACTCTGGCTCCTGGTTCCGTTTTTGACAGTAACGGCACAGCCAACAAGATGAACGGAGCTTTGGATCACTCAGACCAACCAGACCCAGATGCCATTAAGATGTTTGTCGGACAGATCCCCCGGTCATGGTCAGAAAAGGAGCTGAAAGAACTTTTTGAGCCTTACGGAGCTGTTTACCAGATCAACGTCCTCCGGGACCGGAGTCAGAACCCTCCCCAGAGTAAAGGTACAGACCAGAGCATGGGGAGGGGGCGCGTGGGGCCGGGATCACCCAGGTGTCCAGGTGGGCATCGTGGCTGTCGCGGTTATGGCTGGGCCAGGGCTGACTGAAGTCCGCAACCTGCCAGAGGGAGGGTGGGTGGGTGGAG